CAGGCAGCTCCTCCCCGCATGTTCTGTACAAGCATTCCCGCCACTAACCTTCCAAGTGGCCCTCCCGCACTCGCTTCATGCGCGCATGTGCTGCCGTGATTAAGTCTTCTCCCTCAGCAGCTCCTCCCCCGCATGTCTGTACAAGCATACCCCCACTACCTCCAAGTGACCTCCCTCACTCGCCTCATGCGCGCATGTGAATATTGTCATTGGTCTTCTCCCTCAGCAGCTCCTCCCCCGCATGTCTCTACAGCATACCCCACTACCTCCAAGTGCCCTCCTGCACTCGCCCACTGCGCGCACGTCCTGCCGTCATTGGCCTTCTCCCTCAGCAGCTCCTCTCCGCATGTCTGTACAGCATACCCCAGCACCTCCAAGTGCCCTCCCGCACTCGCCTCATGCGCGCACGTCCTGCCGTCATTGGCCTTCTCCCTCAGCAGCTCCTCCCCGCATGTCTCTACAGCATACCGCACTACCTCCAAGTGCCCTCCCCCACTCGCATAGTGTGCGCATGTCCTGCCGTGATTGGTCTTCTCCCTCAGCAGCTCCTCCCCGCATGTCTCTACAGCATACCGCACTACCTCCAAGTGCCCTCTCAGACTCGCCCATTGCGCGAATGTTGCGCCATGTTCGTCCTTCGCCCTTAGCAGCTCCTCCCCGCATGTCTTCCCAACATACCGCAGCACCTCCAAGTGCCCTCCCTCACTCGTCAAGTGCGCGCATGTCCTGCCGTCATTGGTCTTCTCCCTCAGCAGCTCCTCCCCGCATGTCTCTACAGCATACCGCACTACCTCCAAGTGCCCTCCCGTACTCGCCTCATGCGCGCATGTCCAGCCGTCATTGGCCTTCTCCCTCAGCAGCTCCTCCCCGCATGTCTGTACAGCATACCGCACTACCTCCAAGTGCCCTCCCCCACTCGCCTCATGCGCGCACGTCCTGCCGTCATTGGCCTTCTCCCTCAGCAGCTCCTCCCCGCATGTCTCTACAGCATACCGCACTACCTCCAAGTGCCCTCCCGCACTCGCATCATGCGCGCATGTCCAGCCGTCATTGGCCTTCTCCCTCAGCAGCTCCTCCC